ACTTGATTTTTTAAAATTAATTGGATCTTTGGGATATTTTACAGACAGCCTCCAATTAATGATTTTCAAGTTTATTTACAATGTTAAATATACATTGGCCACTTGAACTTCCAGATATAAACCAAACTGTCTAAAAGCAAGTATTTTCTTATTTAGCTCTGTGCTAAACTTGATAGTGAAGACAGAGGTCCAATATCGGGTCCCTCACTCAAGCATTTTTCAATCTATTGTTGGAGCGAATGGCCACAAAAGTAGCTACTGGGAAGTCCACATCTTGTTTAAATTATTATAGCATTTAATGTGATTTTTAAATCTGACGGTGTGTTTCTCACTAATGCCCTTTTTCACATATTTTAAATGTGTCTCTCTTTGTTCATCTATGCATACTTACATGTTCTTAATAAATCTTTTAGGGATTTTGCTGTGATTTAGGTTAAATTTATTCATTAATTTCTAGAAAAGGGCATATTTACGATACTTCTTTACCATTCCAGCTAAGAGAGTGTACCTCATTTTATTTGCTTGAATATTCTGACAACTTCCTTATTGGTCCTACTCTTGTAGTCTATTTAAATTTTTAGATCAGTCTTTCCCCGAATGGTGGTTCTGATGATTCCATTTCTTCCTTTACAGATGCTTTCAGCTACTCTCCATTTGTCTACTGAATACCCTGGAAAGTCTTCAGTTCACATTTCTGGCCTTCCACACCCTACACATCCTTTATTTTCCTTTCCTTACATCTATGCTACTGTGTTTCTTAAACATTTGCAATTCCTGCCACAGACTGGAAGGATCTTTTATCTTTACATTCAAATTCATATCCATTTTCATTTGAAAATTTTATTTCTGAAAACTCAAATTTTTGTACTATAGGTAGTACTCCTTGTTGCCCCACAAAATACCATAAAGTGCCTTCCTTTTGAGTGGAAAAGAATTGAAAATGCCTGTGCTCTGTCTGATTTAGTGGCTCCACTTATTGGAATCAGTCCTCCAGTGGCCAATGTTATTGAAGGACAGCAGTTAACTTTGCCCTGTAGTCTGTTGGCTGGAAATCCCATTCCAGAACGTCGGTGGCTCAAAAATTCAGCGATGGTGAGAACATTTTAAATGCATGCATCCACACTCCCGATTTTTTGAGTAAGGAGCAATGTATTCCAACCGCTGATATATCAATTTAAAAAATAAATAAAAATATGTTTTGTTTATTTATTTTTAACATGTTTATGTTATTCATACTATTTGGGGATTAATAAGATGGAGAAATAGTCAGTGTTATAATTTTCATAACTTCACACTAATATAATTCTTTCAGAATATGCAAATACTTAAGCAACTATTAAGCTATTTTCATAGCATTTGAATATTTTTATACTCTTCTTTGTAGTACATTATGAAATGCTAATATTCTCATCAAATTCTTCCATTTCATTTATTAATCCTTATTCTTATTAGCTTCAAATATTCTATCTTTTGTCCTGAGCTATTTTAAAAGTAGATGTATATTGTATCATTGTTTTCCAGTGTATAACTTTTGATTCTGAAAAGATGTAGGTGGGCGGGGCCCATAGCACAGTGGTTATGGTGCCCACCACATGCACCAAGGGTGGTGAGTTCAAACCCAACCTGGGCCAGCTAAACATCAATGACAACTGCCACAAAAAAATAGCCAGCCATTGTGGTGGGCACCTATAGTCCCAGCTACTTGGGAGGCTGAGGCAAGAGAATTGCTTAAGCCCAAAGAGTTTGAGGTTGCTGTGAGCTGTGATGCCATGGCACTCTACTGAGGGCAACATAGTGAAACCTTGTCTCAAGA